GCCTCGGTCGTTACGATGTCGTCGAAGTTTGCGCCTTGTTCATCATTCGCAAGATGGGTGGCATTTCCGTGAGTTTTGTTGCTCGTCAGAATGTCGAGATCGTTGTCGATGTCGTCTTTGGTCATCTTGTGCTGGGACGCGACCATTTTCATGAGTTGATCGCGGCTGAGGGCGTCCGCACCAGGCGCTAGCGCGACCGCGGCGATGCAGATGCAGGTAATGAGGGAGGTTTTGGTGAACATAGCGAATTGCGAAATGAGCCCTGACATTTGTGCTGGCTGGGCACCACACTCGTCGCCGTGCTAGGCAACGAAACCCCTCGGTCGTTTCGCCATGGGCATATCCAAAACCGCTGCCAGTGCGACGGCGGCGAGATCCGAGGCTGCACCTAGGTGCAGCCGTTCCTTGAGATTCCCATGGCGCCTTGCCATGGCAATACGGACGCTTTGCGACCGTGGTCCTTGACGACGTGCGGCGTGACCTCCGCCGCGTAACCGATCGCTGTTCGGCACGTTCGTTACACTTCGAACAACAAAATTCACATTTGTAGACTAGATCCTGGCGCTTATTGTGAACGAGAATGGTGGTCGCTGCGATGCAATATTGGTATTGCACGTATTTTACGTACAAGGTACAAACACTTTCCAACCCATACGTCCATCCAGTGGAATGTTGGTCATTTCGAAGCCATGCGGCAAAGCAAGGTGGCGGCGATCTCGGCCGTTGTCGTCGTTGTCATTGCGTCGATCGCATCCTACAGTCAATCGACGACCGCCATGCGTCTGGAAGCCGTGAAGATAAAGAATGCCGATGCGAACTTACAGGGCCAGACTGCGCTCGTGGTTGGCGGAACGTCGGGCATCGGCGAAGGCATTGCGCTTCGCCTAGCTCAAGCCCGGGCGAATGTTGTGATCGCGGGTCGCAACGCTGACCGCGGGAACGCCATCGTGGCCAAGATGCAGGCGATCCACCCTTCTGGCACGTACCGCTTCTTGCCCGTGGATGCCCAATACATCGGGAAGATCCGAGGACTGTCGGCGGAGGTGCCCCACATCGACAAGCTAGTCTTGACTCAAGGCATTGCGACAATCCAAGGATACACTCCCACGTCGGAAGGCATCGACCAGAAGCTTGCCCTTCATTACTATGGCCGCATGGCGTTCATCGAAGAATTCCTACCGAGTTTGCGGCAGTCCAAGCACTCGCCTCGCGTCCTCTCCGTGCTGAGTGCAGGTTCCGCACCTCCCCACCAGCATTTGTCGCTCACCAGGTCCGTGTAGGTGTGCACTCACCGTACGACAACTACGTGAACGACCCCGAGCTCAAGTCGTCGTATTCTTTGAAGAACGCTGCAGACGCCGCCGGTTTCTACAACGATCTCATGCTGGATGCGTACAGCCAAGCGCCGGCCAACGCAGCGATCGCATTCGGTCACTCCGCGCCGGGATTTGTCGCCACAAATTGGGGAACTGAAATGCCGTGGGCGATTCGTATGATCCTGAAGCCGCTCAAGTTGCTGGCGAAATCCAAAACCGACTGCGGCGAGTTTATGGCCGACTTTCTCCTCCGAGACGACATGACTCCAGGAAAACTGCACTTGATGAACGCAGTGGGCGATCCGGCTCACGTCACGGCAGCGCACACGCAGGAAGCCGTCGATTTTCTCGCAGCCCATACCCTCGACCGCCTCAAGCAGATCTAGTGAGCCAAGGGACTCTGGCCCACAGCAGTAGAGAGGCTTTTTTACTGTCGTAAACTCTGGCGACGTATACAATGTGGCCGTCGATTTTGAGGAGCAGCGCTTGCGTGCGATCACTGCAACCACGTCCACCTGACTCGCCTGCAGCCATGTTCATCCAGAGATGCGGCAGAATGCTCTGGTCTCAGTCCTTCCCGTGATGGTCACAAATTGCCCACTTATCGACGGAACCCGCAGCTATCACACGCCGACCCGATGATGAACTTCACCATGTACGGCATGCCTCATGCGATAGATGAGTTCGTGCGTGGTGGGCTTCTTTCAGCGGTGCATGAATAAGTGATGCATTTGATCCTTAAAAGATGCGCACACTCGATTCATTCGCGATGGCTGTGCTCAGCTTGGTCCAGCACAGACAGCGTGTGGTGGTAGATAAAGGCGGCAGCCTCAGGAGTGTGCGCACTCGTCTTCTTCGCGACGCCGGCATGCTGATCAATGAGATGGACTCCAGACATGGGCGGGAATGCCGACGCGTCCAGTAAAAAGTCACACATGAACTCGGCACAGTCGTCCGGGGACTTTGCAAGGAAGTGCTTGAGAGGCTTGAGGGCCATGCGCACGGCCCACGGCATTTCGGTACCCCAGTTGGTCGCGACAATGCCAGGCGCGGCGTGGGCGAAGGCAATCCCTGCGTTCGCGTCCTCTTGGCTCCACGCGTCTAACATGAGGTCGTTGTAAAACCCCGCGGCGTTGGCAGCGTTTTGAAGCGTGTAGCTGTGCCGTAGGTCCGGGTCTTCTCGGTAGCCTTCGTACGGCTTGTGAACGCCTGCATTCGTGTGAGTCATGTTGTGGCTCGATACAATGGAGGGCAAACCTGCACTGAAGACAGAGAGTACGCGCGGTGACTGCGTGGACTGCCGCAGCCGCGGTAGGAACTCCTGGATGAGCGCCATACGACCATAGTAATGCAGCGCCATCTTTTGGTCGATTCCTTCCGACGTCAACGTCCGGCCTTGCAACGTCGCAATGCCTTGGGTCAGAATCAACTTGTCCACTTGCGGCAATTGATGGGACAAGCCGCGGATCCCGCCAATGTACTGTGCGTCCAATGACACGAACTGGTGGTCTCCACCTGGAAACATCGATTTGAGTTCTTTCACCACGGTGGCTCCCCTGCCGGCATTGCGACCCGCGATGATCACATTGAATTCAGCCTTCGCCAGTCGCCTAGCTATGCCTTCCCCAATCCCGGAAGTGGCACCTACGAGGAAGGCGGTCTGCCCTGGGAACCGCAACGCGCCGTTCTTTTGCTTGAGGAACGCCAGACGGCTTGCCGGCATTTCGATTTCGAAATATGGATGTAGGGATGACGATATGTACATGGCATTTTCAAGAAATATCTTCCATTTTTTGCACAAAATATGGCTGAATTTATTCGGGTTCAGAGAGAATGACACTACCATTTCCGAGAAAATGATACAGTTCGTATGAACTCGCCTGAAGAACCACCAGAGGATGTTATTGAGGACGGGTTTGAACCGGGCGGCCGTGCCGAGAACGCTAAAGCAGCTCTGCCGGCGGCATGGGACGGTGGTGAGCTACTACGACAGCCAGTCTGGTCAGCATGTGACGTACACTGACGCCATCCATGTCCACGGCCTTGTCTTCTCGCCGCCGACCACGATAAAGCCAACAACCGCCTTGGGTCTCGATTCGATCACTGTTGCCGACCCTGCCTGGAAAGATGCGTTGGTGAGCTTGGCACATGACAAACCTATCTACTTGATGTACCCTCCATGGACTCCGTCGTTGTCTCCTTTGGCTGTCGACCTCTCGTGCACATCTCCGCGCGAGGACTGGGACGACGTCCTCGAGAAATGCACTGCCGCGTCGAAACTCGGACTGCCGGTGAAGGCGACACTCACGCACGCGTTCGCATCGACGGACGTGACGATTCAACTCGCCGGCAGCTTGCTCGCGGACGCGGGTGTGGGTATCATAACCCTTGACGACAGCGTCGACAAGTTGGCGGACCAAGACAACCTGCTCGAAGCCTTTGAAGCGCTCACGTGGTGCGACGTCGTCGGTCTTCCGATGAAGCAGCGCATTGGATTCCGTGGCTCGCCGCTTGCGTCGGAGGATTTGCTGCTCCAGGCGATACAGGAGCACGAGATCAAGCACTTTGACGTGTGCCTCCAAGGCGGTGCCTACGCACTGGACCTTCTTCAGCTGACTCGAGCGTTGGATGCGGCGGGGGCCTCTCACGGCGTAGTCAGTCAATAGAATCCATCGTTTTGGCCGATTGAACCGCTTCTGCACCCGCCTCGTACTCGTTGAGAGATCACGACATGCACCTAGTGTGCACCTGCTGCACCTACATCGCCCTCGAGCATTTGGCAGTGATCTTCCTACAAGTGCACGACTTCCGTGCGAGTCCTGAGGGCTGCCCTCGTGCCTCTCGATCCCTCCGAGCACTTTTCAAGACCGGACCTGCCCGCGTGTTTGCCTCGGGATACTGGCATGCTCGCTTTCGTAGGTGCACATCCCATCATGCTCCGTCCTGCACCCATCTACCATACAAACACGTCTCCATTGCGCTTCTAGACTTGGTGCTTCAGGACGGGCGAGTTGGCAAACGCGCCGACCTCATCGGCTGACATGATAACGCTTTCGCGCGGCTTGCTGTCGTCCTCATCGTCGGTGGAGGCTTTGCTGCAACCTTCCTCACTGCTTTCATCGTCTTCTTTGTTGTCTGTGGCATCGTCGGCTTCCTCGCCGATCTTGTTGGTCGGAGTCCCCGAGCATGAAGCCGTCTCTGTCTCGTGGTACCGCGCCCGCCGGGTCCGGAATACCACGACCACGAGTACCAACAACAAACACGCCACAGCGGCGGCACCTGCGACGGCCATCGCGCGCCCGTCACCCGCCTTGAGCTTCTCCACAAAATCACTGAAACTTGTGGACGTGACAGGCCGTTCATGATCGACATGCTCGGCGACCTGCTTCTGGTACGCAGCGTTCTGGATCGGCGTCTGGCATACCGTGGAGCCTTCCTCAACAGTGATCCAGTTCACGACGCCTCCGTCCTCTTCGACATGTCCGCACGTGGTCAGTTCAAAGTGGTCCTTCGGGTTCTCTTCAAAGTGAAGGATGTACTTGCCCACCACTTGCTTCTCGGACGCGAGGCTGCATGTGATGTGCGTTACGACAGAGTACTGTTGCGGCTCCGACGGGGCAGCACCGACCAGCTTTTCAAAAGACACCCCCACGACATGCAGTTCGTCGCACACATTCGAGTTGTTGTACGCAGCAAAGGCTGCGTACGACGCTTTGGCAAGGCCACCCGAGTGACTGGAATCGATATTCTCCCACGTCGCCGTAACTTGTCCTGTGGAATTGTTGGATGTGGACGGAGATGGAGTGGAGCTCGCAGGTCCAGGTGCGGCTGCAGGGACCGGAGTCGTGTCATACGGGTCAACGCCTTCTTCGACTTCACGGGAGCCGGCTGGACACTGAGGGTAGTTGCATTTGTTCTTGGGGTCGCGCATGAGCTGAGTCATCTCGCCCGTCGTCATGTCCTCGCACACCTTGTAGTCCTCGACGCACGCCATGCCTGCTCAACTATCCACGGAAGAAGCGATGATGCAAAAGTGCAAAATGGGCACAACTTTCGAGCCTTGGAAATATCCATTTCAAAAGGTTTATCCGGATATTGGAAGAACGGAATCGGGCATGGCACTCGGGAGGGCGCGATACCAGCCACCTTCTGCAACAACCACCTCTTGCAAGAGGATGAAGACGTCTTTATCACATGCCAGCTCCAGATCGATGGAGCTGGCCATCGCCGAGCCCTCTTTGTCCGGTTTATACAGTAGAACAGCGGCGTCCTTTGGCGTGTCTATCGATGTCGACACTCATCACGACATTCGCTTTTAATTTCACTTGTACTTTGTATGCAGAAATTTCAATTATTTTAACTGAGGACGTTGCACACACCTTGCATAAAATTTCAGAGGTGATGATTCTGCGCTGGACGGATATCGTCCCGAGCCTGGTGCACATGGGATGATGGTAAGGAATGCGGCGTTTGGTGCATGGCGAGCACTTGCGGCGAATGGGACGGAATTACATGCCTACATGCTTTCTATTCAATCGTAAACTTTGCTTCCTGGTTGACGCCGGGTGTGTCCACCTTCATCTGTGCCTTCAGACTCGTGGTGGTCTCCGGTTCATCAAGTACAACCTCGTCCAGGTTGGACCCGCTCTTGCGGGCGAGTTCAATGTCTTCGTCCGAGTCGTCGTCTTCTTCCTTGCTTTCCTCTTCGTCACCCACTTGGTGATCCGTGCTGTCGCCCGCGGCCGTCGAGTGGTATCGGAATCGGTTGCGGATCATGACGAGGCCGGCCACAATGAGGCCCGCCGCGACGACGGCGGCGACAGCGGCGGCAATCACAAAAGGGTCGCCGCTTTCCAATCGATGGTAGTACTCTGCGATCGCCGACGTGTGCTCGACGTGCTCGACTTTTTGCTTGGCATAGTCGGCATTCTGCACTGGGTTCTGGCAAATTTCTGTGCCGTTGACAACGCCAATCCAGTTGGTCACGATCGAGTCCTTGACGTGGCCACACATCGTCAGCTTGAACTCGTCGACTTGGCGTTCGTCAAAATGCAGAATGTACTCGCCGCCAACCTCATCGTCGTCGTCGCTGTTGCACTTGACGTGTGCCACGACCGAGTACATCTGGCCGCCGCTCTTGGACGTGTTGCCCATAAACTTTTCGAACGAGACCAGGTCGACGTGAAATGCATCGCAGGTCGAGTTTGTGTACGTGGCAAACGCAGCAGTCGAGGCCTTCACCAACGAGTCAGGACGGGAATCGTCAATACCAATCCACTCCGCTTCTTCGCCTTCATTGGCGGAACCCATGGATTCCGGGGTTGCAGTTGTGGTAGCAGCGTCGATCGTTGTCGAGACGGTTGAATTGGTGGCAGCAACGGTAGTTGGTGTGGCAGTTGTGGTGACTTCAGGCGCAGCTGGGGAGGCCGTCGTTGCTGGCGCGACTGTACTGGTGGTAGCAGGAGTCAATATGGTCTCAGTTGTAGCTGCGGCTGCAGTCGTGGTGTTTGCCGTTGAAACGACTGCAATAGAAGTGGTGGGTGCGACCGTCGCCGATTCTGCATGTTCAGGAGCGACCGAGGATGCAGGTGGGGCTGAAGAGGTCACTTGCGTTGGATCCGAATGGGGTGTGACTGGGGCGGTTGATTCTGTGGTGGAATTCGCGGTAGGTGCTGCTGTGGAGGCCGACGTGGTGGGTTGTACTGCGGGAGCCGCGGAAGCGTTTGTCGTGGTCATTTCTGGCGCAGTTGTCGTCGAAGTCGTCGTTGGGACAACGGTGGTTGCAGTGGTCGTTGGAGCGGCCGACGGTGTTACAATGGTCACGACTGGCGTTGTCTCGCCGGCAGCAGAGGCTTGACGCGCTTCCGATGGCTCTGCCATACTTGTCTCGAGGGTGATTTCGAATGTGGTGGGAAAGGGGGACATTGTCGTATCCGGATGGCCTCGAATTGGGCAATTCTAATTGGCAGTTGGTGAGTGGAAGTGTCCGGATAAAATCCAACTCGTCATGATATGGCAGGGGGGGAAGCCCATTACATACGGACAGGACCATGGCCGACGGCACCGCCGTGCCATGTAGAGGACGGCGGTAGCATCCAGGGGAGGTCCGCATCTTTTCGCGCTGGTTGGATGCCCTGAATGGAGGGTATTGACTCTCCGGTGGGCTGGATCGGATATGCGAGCGCACGCCGACCTCGATCCCACCGTATGGCCGATCGAGCAATCGCAGCTGGGTACCATGTGGACACGTGATCGTCATGCTGAGAGGTGGGTGTGCGGACAATTATGACGAGATCATAATCATCGCTGGCTTACTCTATCGTGAAGATGGCTTGACCATCTCGTCGCGGTTCGACATCTTTCTTGCGCTTGCCAATGTAATCCAATGCGTCGTTCTCGGTGGGAGTCTTCTCATCTTCCGACTGCTCCTCGAGCCGGCGGCGGCGCTCCTCCGCTTCCCGCGCGCGCTCTTCAATGCGACCCGTGGCAACCTCCTCGAGGATGCTTCGCTCCATCTGCCTTCGCTTCATCGCTTCCAGCCGTCGCCGACCGATCACAACTGCAAACCCAAACGCCAACAGGACAATGCCCGCGACAGACGCAATGAACAGGTACAGCACGGTCGGCTTTCCCATGAGGGCAGCTAGGTCCCCAAACATACTTGTCGAAGCGGTGCTAACTCCTTCCTTTGGGAGATGCATCGTGTGCTCGAGAGGTTGCTGGATGTACTCGCGGCGGCCCTGCGGCGTCTGGCACGTCGTCGTGTGGTTGCGCTTGGTCAGCCAGTTCGCCATTGTGCCGTTGGCCCACAGGCCGCACCGTGTCAACTCGGCTTTGCCATCATGAGTCGAAATGTCCAGGACAAAAGTGCCAGACGTCTGATTCACACCTCGCAACGTGCAGTTGACCTCCATGACGACATGGAACAGGGCTAGTTGCGATGGGAGGTCCGCGCGTTCCGCGGCGGCAATTCCGACAGCGAGAGAGTCACACACGGACGAGTCATTGTACATGTGGAAGGAGCGAAGAGCTGCATCCGAGATTTCCCATGGAATGGAAGAATCGGCGACGGTCCAATTCAGATTCTCGGGCGTTTGGGAATGAGACGAGTTCGCCACGACCGTCGAAGTTGATGCAGTCTCGATGCTTGCAAGTTCGGTCGGAGCGTCGGACGAGGGAGAAGATGTCTCGGGCAGGTTGTCAGCATCGCGACACGGGTAGAACTTGCAGTCGTTCAATGGATCTCGAGACACGAGAAGGCCGCTCCGACAAACGTATGTGTCCGACATGCATGCGATCTTTACGTTCGACGGGGAAGCGTGGCTTTGTGCTGTTGTGATTGGAGAGACACGAGTGTCAACTGTGCTTGCAGCAGTTGGGGGAGCTGGAGTTGTCGTTTGTGAAGTTGTTGACGTCGGAACAATCGTCGCGGGTGGTGCAGTTGTCAAAGCAATCCCCGCAGAATCGGTGGGAGTGGACGATGGCAGCGCCGTTGTTGACGATAGCGGATGAGTCGTGTCGGCGTGTGTGGTCTGTCGGGTAGACTGTTCCGTGGACGAGCTGTTGGTTGCAGTGATGTTAGGATTTGTGGTCGGTGGTAAGATGGAGGCAGTGGGAGCTAGAGGTGTGGCGTTCGGCGTAGAGGTTTCTGGAGAGGCTTTGTCCTGGGCAGCGTGTACCGCTGCAGTCGTCGACGGCGCAGCTCCAGGCGGCGGAGCCGTCGGCATGGTGTGTAGAGGATGGTTCCAATTCGGTTATGCTGGCGCTCTTCCCAACCTGATTGGCTGCATGAACGGGATGTCTCCATTAAGTGCGTAAGTGTTGGGCTGTACAAGTACAGTTTACATGCGAGGTCTGCCAAGGCAAGTCGTACTTAGCGCACGCGTCCTTATACTTCAACTTGTTGCGTCTGGGAGCCAGGCCGAGTTGTGGCATGCGTATGTTTTGCGTGTAGCAGAAGCGTACAGGCATTTGGCCAGTGATGTTTGTATGGACATACTGGTACAGCTCGTCTCCTTCACTCGAAACATATATCGCCGAATCCCGTTTGTTCGTTCCAAACGCGATGGACATCGCGATGTGCATCCGATTCCGAGTATTGACAGGACGTGTGCACATGGGGATGGAGACTTTTTTCGGTCCTTTTTCTTCTGCCCCGATGCTGGCTTTGTGATACAGGTATTATTATTTTTGTTTTGATTTTTTTTGGGGTAACTCGTTGCAATGTGTGTCCCGAATTTCGCTCGACCTACTACTACTCCGACTACTAGTCTTCTACTACAAGGCCATTGCGGGGCCAACACTATGCACTCGTATCAGTTCACCCGTCTCTCCTCTTCGCGAGAGTGGTGGGATCAGGTCCTGTCTCCATGCGGACGGCATGGAGCCAAGCACGGACGACGGTCGAGACCGGACGGCGGCGGGCACACCATGAGCCGCTCGATCCGAGAAGGCTGACGATGGCTCCGACATGTCCCGACCGCCACCGCAGCCCGTTGAGAAAGGCGGCAAGTGGGAAATACTGGGACAAACACTGTATTCGAGTGCAACTGGCATCCCGGCCAAAAAGATCGAGACCACTTTACGAGTACGCGCATGTCGGGCACGATGGTCCCGTCCGCCCGCGGCGTCGCGCTGGTCTCTCAGCGCCTGGATAGTCTCCATGGCGCCAAACGCGGGTGCGGTGGTCTGTCAGGTTACTACCTCAAGCTTCTGTTTGCGGCCGGGTTTGGATGGGCGATGGACTCGATGGACACGTTTCTGTTTACATACTGCATGAAGCACATCACGATGGAATTCAAGGCGAAAGGCCGCGACTTCACGTCCCATGAGCAGGCCATTCTTGGGTCGTCTGTCTTTGCTGGGTCGTTTGTCGGCGCGTTTCTCTTTGGGAGTCTGGCCGATCGATTCGGACGAAGGCCGGTGTTCCTGTGGACGATGGTTGTGTTTCTCACGGGCATGGTCATGTGCGGCCTCGCCGACAGCTACGGCATGCTTCTCACGTTCCGTTTTGTCACGGGCGTCGGTCTCGGCGGCGAGCTTCCCGTCGCGTCGACGCTCGTGCAAGAGTTGTCACCCAAAGCAATTCGCGGCCGCGTGATTGTGTTGTTGGATGGGTTTTGGCCCGTGGGTTGCTTGCTGGCGGTCGCGTTCGCATTTGAGCTCATCAAGTACCTCACTTGGCGCCATGTCTTCTTTGTCTCGACGGCTCCCGTCGTCATCGCGATCATACTCCGCGTGATGGTGCCCGAGTCGCCCAAGTGGCTCGCGTCCGTGGGCAAGAACCACGACGCGAACCGAATCGTTCAGGACATCGAGATCGCCCACGGCGTGTACTCGTACACGGCCAAGCTGGACGCACATGTCGATGACCCAACCGCGAATGTGTTTTCGTACCGCCATCTCAGCACGGTCCAGCGCGTCGCGCTGCTCTTCCGCGGCGAGTACCTCAAACGCACGGTCGTGCTCTGGATCGTGTGGTTCGGCATTGCGTTTGTTTACTACGCCATCTACGTCTGGCTGCCCAAAATCGTGTCGACCAAGCCCGGCGCGTTTGACATCTACGGCACGCCAGCGTCCATGTACGTGATCTTGGTGTTTCAGATCCCGGGGTACTTTTCCGCCGCTTACGTCGTCGAAAAGATCGGGCGGAAGCTGACGCTTGTGCTCTTCCTCTTTTGCTCGTTCGGGTCGGCGCTCATGTTTGGGTACGTCGACCCGACCGAAGTGAACTTGATGACGACGGGGTCGTTCATGTCGTTTTCCATGCTTGGCGCGTGGGGAGCGCTGTACGCGTACACGCCAGAGAACTACCCGACCAACATCCGCGCGATGGGGGCGTCGTACCCGTCGGGATTCAGCCGCATTTCCGCCATCGCTGGCACGTACGTCATGCCTATGCTGGTCGAAGCCAAGTGGTCGACGGAATCGATCATGTGGCTCAACGGCGCAATCCTCATCGCGTGCTGCGTCATCTTGTTTGTGTTTGGGTACGAAACGCGGGGGAAAGACATTGACGACGTCCTTGGCGTTGGCGAGCCCGTCGTCGACCTCCCCAGCAGCCTCAGCGACCTCCTCAGCCCGTACCCCGACTTGCTCGAGTAAATGAACCCATCTAATTATTCTTCCATCGGCATCGCTGCATCCCTTGCGACGTTTCCACCTGGCCTCTCGCGCCGATTGAGTTAACGACTGCTCGGTATCTCCCCGCCCACGACAGCCCCGACCAGGATGCTTCTGTGGGTCAGCTGGTCGCGACCCCAGTAATGGGTCTGTGTGTGGCCTGTCGTGCCCGAATCCATCCGAATCGTCGCCGAGAGGTCGCACATGGCGGCTCATGTGTGACGGCGCCGATTCATGTCCGCTAGAGGGGTCGCAGGGGAGTGTCAGCCCACGTCACAATGGGCCCGAGTCATCGCTGGCCGTGTCGGCTTCTCGTTAGCCACAACGATAACATGGACGAAATGCCCGTGGAGATGGAAGAGGATGTGCGCCTGCACTCTTGAGGGCACTTGGTGAAGGGGCGGCGAGCGCATGCGCCGCCATGTCCCTGTACCAAGTTGTACGTTGTCCCAAGATCGTCAACCCCGACTTTTGCCCAAATCGTCCCACTTGTATAAAAATATTAAAACTACGACGTTTTCATTGGCTAATCATGGAAATTCTTACATACACTTGGCTTCGCTCGTCCACACATTTTATCCAATCATCAACGTCGACTCTACTTTTTATTAAATATCGAACATGGGTTCTGATTGGACGATCGTGTCGCATGTTGATCGATGGGATTTCACTGCCAACAGGTTTTACCCAAACGATTGTCCTACACCAAAGTGCCGTACAAATGGTCGCGGCATGCTGTCTCGAAAGGCCATCTGTGCCGTCCCCCGGTTCTTCTCGCGGGCCATCCACCTCATCCGCAAGATGTGACAGATTGCGACGGGATCTGCGTCAACATGGCCGTCATCTTGCAGTCGACGGCGCTTGGGTACTGTACAGGTAACGACGGTGTCGTTTTGCCCAATTCGAAGTGATCGATGGGACAAACCCGATAGCAAACGACAGGAACCAGCGCCGCGCGACCTTTGCTCGTCATTTTGCAACTCGCCGCCTTTGCCCAGCATGGCCGACGTGCGGAGCATCACACAGCGCCTGGACAGCCTACCGCTGACGGGCTTCCTCTGCATCAGCGGTCCTTATTGGGCCCTCCTCTTCAAGACCGGGCTCGGCTGGGCCTTCGACGCGATGGACGTGTTTCTGTTCACGTACCTCGGGACTGCGACGGGTGGCAGTGGTGGCTGGATGAAGGAGCTCAAACCGACCGCGCATGAAAAGGGATTGCTCGGATCGGCGTCCTTCGCTGGGTCGCTCGTGGGCGCCGTCTTGTTTGGCCAGCTCGCCGACATGTACGGTCGCAAGAATATGTTTGCCATGACACTGCTCGTGTTTATGCTGGGAACACTGTTGTGCGCGACTGCGTCGGACGTGGACACCATGCTCGCATTCCGCTTCATCGCGGGGATCGGTTTGGGCGGTGAATTGCCGGTCGCGTCGGTTCTTGTCCAAGAGTTGGTGCCGACGGCCGTCCGAGGCCGCATCATCGTTCTGTTGGAGTCGTTCTGGTCCGTCGGGTGCATGCTCGCCGTGCTGTTGGGTCTGGAGCTTGTCAAGGTCGTGAGCTGGCGCACCGTATTCTACCTGTCATGCATTCCTGCGCTGTGGGCGATTGTGATCCGTTTCTGGATTCCCGAGTCGCCCAAGTGGCTGGCTTCCGTGGGTCGGTCGGCCGAGGCCGAAGCGATCGTGGAAAAGATCGAATGCGCCCACGGGGTGTCGCCCACGACGGGCGACATCAAAGCCGACGTGGCTGGCGACTCGATCTGGTCGACGCTCAGCCCTTTCCAACGCCAACTCGTGCTGTTTCGCGGCGAGTTTCTCGTGCGCACGGTCGTGTTGTGGACGGTCTGGATCCTCATTGCGTTTTCGTACTACGCCATCTACGTGTGGCTGCCGACGATTCGCGGCAAGGAGAAGGGCGGATTCAACATCAACGGGTCGACGTGGGACATCTTCTTCATCGTGTTCTGGCAGTTTCCAGGGTACTTGTCAGCTGCCTACTTGGTCGAAGTCATCGGGCGCAAGAACACGCTGGTCGGGTACCTCTTGGGCTCGTTTGCGTCGGCGCTGGCGTTTGGGTACGTCGAGAACACTCAGTGGAACCTGCGCATCGCGGGTGCGTTCATGAGTTGGTTCATGCTCGGTGCATGGGGAGCGTTGTATGCGTATACGCCAGAAAACTACCCCACGGGCATCCGCGCAACAGGATGCTCGACCCCGAACGCGTTCAGCCGCATCGGCGCGATTGCTGGCCCGTACGTGATGCCGCTCATGGTCGAAGCCGAATGGTCGAGTCCGACCATCATGTGGATCGCGGGAGGCATTCCCATGCTGCTTGCCGCGACCGTACTGCTCCTTCTCGGCTATGAAACCCATGGCCAGGACGTCGAAGTGTGTCCTCGCGTCCAAGCGATCGTCAAGAACAACGCGGGCGGCGACCATGTCGCCGTCGCCACGCCTGGCCATGACTTTTGAACTAACCAGAAAAAGATCCCTTCATCGTCCATGACGGCGCAGATCTCGCGTCCAGGTTAGGTCGCATGGCGCTTGCCACGAGCTGGTCTTGATGGATGCCCTCCATCGCGATAGTCGATATGTCTCGGTGGACCACAGGTCGTGGTGTCAAGGCATCCGTCCGCCTTGGCATTGTCGACGTCCTCCAACGCGCGCCGACGTTGTGTGGGACGTCATGCGTTTTTGTCGCGAGTTGCAGTTGCGGCCGAGGTGAACGGGGCCGTGCCGCGTGCTGCTGTGGTGGCGTTCTGGGCCGATGCTGTCGAACGAGTTTCCACGAGGTGTTTGGGTATGCCGCGGCGCGCGACGCAGAAACATCGGCGTTCTCTTCCAAGGTTTTGTTTTGTGTCGCGCACTGGATCGGGCCAATGTCGCGACCCGAAAAAACTGCACTTTGCCGACGATGAGGATGCCGCCGCTGACGCAGGACAGACTTGGTCGTATGGGCATTGCGATATCCGACTCGGATGTCGTGCAGACGTGGTCTCACCGACTGGCATGACAATTTGCCTTGGACCATGTCAACTTGCGTCGCTTCAGAGCGCCATGATGGCAGGTCGACAGTCGCGAGCGCCGAACTCACGGCAACAAAACGTTCTTGTGGGTTGGAAGCCCGCATGCCGAAACGAGACGTGCCTCCTCCTTCTCGTGAGAAACACGGCGCGTTGTAGCTTTCCGCCCAACTCGGCGGCGGTGATGTGGCGCTGCCGGACTTTTTGCCACGATAGCGATCCGTTCCCTCTGTTTGGCCTCGAAACGGATGGTTGTCATGGACCTCCTCCATCGGGGGCAATTGGCTTGTTTTGCTTGTGTCGTTGGCGTCCAGAAGGAGTGCTGGAGGCTCAAGTGTTTTCCACAGCGTCGAGGCGATCGCGCAGTCGAGCGCCATGTGCTGTTGACGCTGTCGATGTAGTGTTTGCGTCTGCGTTTCAAAATTCGGAAGCGGGGACGCCTCGTTGAAGGAGCAGCGCGATGATCTCGTCGATTGCATTCCATCAGTGGTGGGTGGTGGCCATGATTGTTAGGAGCATGACGACGAAGGGCAGCGCTGGAAGCATCGTCGCCGCGCTGGATCTCACTTAGAGTGTGGTAAGGTCGACCACACATGGTGCTTGATCCTGGATGGGCGGAGGCAAAGCATTCGGGGAAGCAAGCGTGCGTCGACAACCAGGTCGCCCTTCATCTCTGGTCGCCAGCACTGCGCACACTTTCGATGGAAACGCTTGATGTGCCTGCGTGAGTTCATCCATGAGATCTGCCGATCGTGCCACACCCATCCGTGAAAGTGAACGCGTAGCGGGTGACGTCCGCACATCCTCCACCGCCACGCGCGCCAGTTCACAGAGAGGAATGTCGAATTGTGTGAAGAGCAGGTTGCTGTACTTGGCTTGCTCGGGAGGGGGCAATCGATTCGACGCCTTGTGGATGGTGATCCCGTTGGGTTTCGAGACGGCCTCGTCTCCCGTCCGTCACGTGTGCTGTGTGAATACGTGAGGAACGCGAGGGGGCCTCCGACTAAATGGAATCATTGGGTCCTGCATTTTCGTCACATTTGGTTTACTTTCCTCCATGGTCTTTGGATCTCCGCCGCGGCCGTGGTGTCGTCGTCCACGCAGCGCCATGGCGCAACAACAACGCGCGACACTGCTTGGAGGAAACCGTTAATGCAATTTGATACTATAACTATGATTGGCTAGAATGATATCAATTTCAATTTGGATTGGTTAAAATAGTCCTGGCATATGATTGGTCCACCTGATCTAGAATCGATTTTGATTGGCTGTTACTTGTCGCCACATCAGCAACCGGTCGACAGAGAGCTATCGAGACCAATTGTGCCTACCCCATGCCGTCCCCGGCGATGGGTTTGCCAAAGTGGTTGACGCACTTGCCGATGTTATCCGATATAACTGCGTTGGAGCTACAGCTGCGTGGCATCGAGCTACCTGGTCCTGTGCAGACGACCCATGTTTCAAGGGCGTGCCGTTCTGTGGACTCTGGTGGCATGGCTAATCGTATTTCTGGCGTCCTCGCCACGCTGTGTTCGCGATCAAGTTCTTTGCTTGTCGTCGGCCACAACGCAGGCGACGTCTCGCAGTGGTGTGCCCGAAATCTGTCGTGTGGTTGTTGCCTTCATATGATCAACCCGCAGGTGTTTTTCCCACGAAAAACTTCCACAGGTTGCAAGTGAATCTCCTTTGGATTGGCTCAAATACGCTGAAAAGGAAGAAATATCGACGACAAATCATATTTTATTGACCAATCACAGCATGCATTCGACAAACGATCGTCTGTCACGGCAAACGTTTTGCTATTCCAGTGATCGGATTGGCTAAAACTTGAAATTGTTGGAAACATTTGCATTTCTTTGGTGTTTTTGGTCCCGACAGAGTCTCCTATCCCCAAATTTGGGCGAATGAACTTTCGAGGAAAAGTTACACATCTTGAGTCATGGGGGTCGACGAACACCCGACCGAGAGCTCGACGACGGAGGTGCCGCCGAGGTCGTTCACGATGTGCTTGAACCCAGGACGGTCCTTCGTGTACAAGGCGCACCTGGCTCTGCATATCGCGTCTGGCACGGAGAATGCGACAAACGCACCACATCATCGAACGCTGTGCTGGCTGCTCGAGGACGGCACACTCACGTGGACAACTTGCAACGAGTCCGTCGCAACTGTTCACTGCCGCGATGCGTCGATTGATGCATCCGATTTCCTCAACGAACGCTTCTTCATCACAACGATGACGGATGAAACGTACACGTGCTATTCCAAGTCGCGGCTCGAGCGCGATGCGTGGATGCACGCGCTCATGGCCACATTGAACAACAACGCTCCCAAATCTCCTACTCACGATGACTCGGCCGGAAACGCGGATCGCTTTGCTGCGTGCGCTGCCGCCGTCTGCGATACACTGACAGCGTGGGCATCGGTCCTGACGGACCTCATCGAGTCACCCTACGGAATGTGGAAAGAGACGCGCCATTGGCGGCGGTTTGGAGTCGCAGAACGGCGGCCCTACATGGAATTGCAAGCAAAAATGAACTCGACGGTCGAAGTGGACGGACTGAGCCTTGTCATGGGGCTATTTGTGTACCACCAGAATCCCATGATGATCGTAACCATTCTGTGCCAATTGGCCCGACTCATGGACACTTGTCCGAGCCAAATCGAGATGTACTGGCCTCAGATTCTGCATTGGGGCATCACCTTCTACTCAACGTCCCAGTCGGTCAACATGCAGCTCTTTTACCTCGCCTTCGTCGCGGGGGTGTGCCGGCGGTCCCTTCCTCTAGCAATCAAGTCGTCGTGGGAATGCGACGCCGCCAAAGTCGGCGCATTGGCTGACCCGAGTCGGTACGCTGCCATTTCGCTTATTCAATGCTACACGAGCATGCTCAGCGTCACGGACAACAACACAGTGACGTCCGACATGGTCGACACGTTGTTTCAACGAAGCAGCCTCGAACCCGAGACATCGAAAGCCCGGCAACTCCTGCTACAGTCGCTCTTCACCGCGACGTCCTCACTGCTTTGCAACCACCCAACTTCGAGCCCGGCCGTCACCAGCGTGTTCGGGCAATGGCTGGGCGCGACCACCGCCGAGGCCATCGACACGGTGCGCGATGCTTGGCTCGTGCTTTCAACGTTCGTGGATCCGTTGCCAGCCCCCACCCATCGAGTTCCGCCGTCGACAAACGCCGAAAGCCTGCGCGGGCGCATGGTCAATGCCGACGACATGCTCGAGTGGCTCCAAGAGTTGCAGATGGAGACGGATCGCGGGTCTGCACAATCCCACGCGGCCCCCCTCGTCGTGTTTCGAGACACAATGCACATCGTCAACTCGTTGATTGTGGCCAGTCAGAACTTTAAACTCCAGTTGGATAACCCGCGGGACCGGAAGAAGCACCTCCCGGCCGTCCTCGAGCGGCTGCGCGCGACCATGCCGGCCCACGCCATGCTGCCCCTCGACGACCCGTGCTGGATCACGGACGTCATCGTGAACGAAGGCACGGTCTTCTCGACCAAAGCTAGAGCTCCCACGATGGTCTGGTTCGAAGCGGTGCACGTTGCGCCATCGAGTGACGCTCGGGCGCCAGTGGTTGCGCTCAGCCCTGTCGTGTATTTATCCGACGTCCTTCTCGCAGACATCCTGTCCCCGATCGCCACGACGATGGCCCGCACGTCGTCCCGCGACGTGTCGATGACGGAAACCAACATGTCCGTCCTCGATTCGTGTGCGATGCACGGCGCGGACGACGCGTCGATCGTGACCGCGATGCAGTCGTTTGCCGACAAGAAGCGCCGCATCCGCACCAGTCGCGCGAATCATGCAAACGTACAGTGCGTCGTCGATCTCGTGCCGCTGACATTGCGTTGGGTAGTTGCCACCAGGATGGGACGTGGTGCCCGTCATCGCCAAGAGCTTCGACGACATGCGGCAGGAAGTGTTTGTGATGCAGCTCATGCATGTCTTCACCGACATCTTTCGATGTGAAGGGGTCGGCGACCAGCTCTGGCTTCGCCCGTACTCGTACGCCAACCCCCTTCTCTCCCACGACGTCACTCCATACGCAGGATCATGTGCTGCGGCGACGATTGCGGCCTCATGGAGGTCCTCACCGATTCCATGTCGATCTCGGATGCAAAGAAGCAGTTTCTCGCGGCGGCCCCGCCAGGGTGTGCGTCGGTATCCCTCGTCGATGTTTTCGTCCAGCGATACGGCGACCCCGACTCGACCACGTTTGCGGTAACGCCGACCGTCGCATGTGCGCGCATGAAAGCGATTCCCGGCAGGCTGCGCGCAGGAACTTTACGCGGAGCCTCGCGGCGTACAGCTTGTTTTGCTACGTCCTCCAGGCATGATATGTGCGGTAGTCCGTAGTAACAACGCCGTGTAGATCAAGGATCGCCATAATGGGAACGTCATGCTCCACGCGGAAGGCTTCGTCATGCACATCGACTTTGGGTTTTGCTTTGGCACGGCCCCAGGCGGAGCTTTCAGCATCGAAGGCGCCCCATTCAAGCTCACGGACGACATGATCGCGGTCATGGGCACGTCCGGCATGGCCACTTTCCAGGCGCACGTGGCGGAAGGGCTGGTCGCGCTGCGCCGGCATGCAACCCGAGTCGGTCGTTCTGTCATGGTTGCGTGTCGCTCATGCTCGATTAGATCATGTCCCTCGTCCGCATGACGTCGCTGCAATCTCCATTCCCATGCTTCCAAGGAGACAACGCCGTCGTGTGCAGACGCCTGATGGACCGGCTGTGTGTCGATGTCGCTGACGAGGATGTCGTGAAGCAGCATGCCGTCGCGCTGATAGCGCGCAGTGCCGGCAGCGTTCGCACTAAATTGTACAGATGCCCCGCTTTGCATCAAGTGCTGACTGGACCTTTGGTAGATACGACCAGTTTCAGTATCGCAGCAACGGGTACATGGTGTAATCAATCGTCGTCGCGTCCTTGGCGATGCTTCTTCTTCGAGTGCTTCTTCTTGTGGCCCTTTTTAGACTTCTTCTTGGGAGATCGACTGCGCTTTCGCTTTTTCTTTGGCGGCGACTCATCCCGACGCCGCGATGGCCGGCGATGGTCGTCGTCGTCGCTGCTACTGCTGCTACTGTCGTCGGAAGACTACGAGTCGGAACATCACGTGTGGTAAGAGCATGCATGCATGCGTTCACACGTACATCGTCCTCTTTGGGAACAGCCACGTCAAAGTTGCGGCACTGGAACGTCAGGTGCCCCATCATCCCGCACTTTTTGCACGCGCCGCGGGATACATTCTACAAGCGAAACACGTGAAAGAGAACGTCACCACACCACTTACCGCTTGATTCGACAGCGTTGCCAACGCCATGATGCCCTTGGCACGTTCTCGCGTCGCTGCTTCGGCTTCTTCAGCCTGCTGCCGGTTTTCTCCCTGTTCCATCGTGCAGAATCACCGCGACGACTCGAGCCAGGTCTTCCCTACGTACCTCCTGTGCATATGGATCGTATCCAATCGTTTGGGTCCATATCCCCGTCATCTTGAGCGCGGAGCTACTACTCATGCGGTTGTTGTGAGGTAGAAGCGGGTTCAGGCCCTTCCTCGACCCGCCGCGGCCTTTGCCGTCGCTCTTGCGGTCGCCCATGCGGCGCAAGTCCACGAATGCCACACGCCTATTGGCTAAAATAAATGAATTTAATCCAATCATGCTGCGTTTTGGTTTTGATTGGTTAAATATTTGAACAGAAAGAGCGCGGATTCGCTCAATGAGAACTCGTCGTCATCTTGGTTCTCGCCGTCCCCACGATTCGGCGGCATGCGTCCAAGCACGATCAAGGCCTTGTGCGTGCTTTGTCTTCGCGCCGCAACTTCTAACTCGTCGTGGCTATGCAGGTACAAGATGCTTCTTCGAGATGTACGAAAGATGGCTGCTGCCCCAGGATTCCGCCTGCGGGAGTCACTCGTGCCAGAGCAATGGGGGCACGGCACACTGTACCCCGCGGCCCGTGACCCAACGACTGCATCTTCGTATCTCTCCGGTGACGAAAAGGCGCGTTGGACGAAGCTGCAGAGGTTTCTCGCTCCTTGGAGGGGACAAGATATTGACTTTGTCGAACTCGTGCGCACCAAATTCCGTTCTGGCGATCCGTCCCACCTGGACGACCTCATGTGGGCGGTGCAAGAAGTTTCGCATCAGCGCCTCTTGGCCGAATCCTCCAGTGGTAGATACCTCTTCCTATGCGTGTGTACTTGCATGAAGCTTGCTCACCAGTGAACAAAACCGACGACATCCTCATTGAAGCCACGGGACGGTACCTTCCCCAGCACTCGGATCCATCGGCCAGGCGGTTTCGATACACATACCGCATCCGTGTGTTCAATGAAGGGACAAGCACGATCCGAATCACGGGACGACACTACATATTCGACCACGGCAACCAAAAACGTGAGATTCTGCCGCGCCATTCGCCGCAGGTGGTGGGTCTCACGCCCACGATCAAGCCAGGTAGACTCGTCGTCGTGTCTTCTATTCACGCGAACATGACAGGAGAAATGTTTGAGTACGCGAGTGGCGTCGACTTGGAGACGATTGCGGGTTCCGTTCGTGGCTGCCTCCACGCTGTACGCGTCGAAGTCGACGGTTCGGAGACCGAGTTTGATGCGATCGTGGCCCCATTTTCGCTGCAGCCGACGGTCTTGGATGCCATGATGTTGCAGTAAGAATAGACAAGTGATCAGTATACGTGCTCGTCTGGAGGCGCTGTGGGCATGTCGAGGGTGCGCAGACTCATGTCAAAGAGTGCGAGGCAGACGACTCCGACGACCCAAACGGACACCGCTAACGGCAGTCGGGCGAGCAACGGACAGATGGCAGCTTCAGCGATGCACGCAGCTTTCGAGAGATTTGGGAGGTGGATGGCCAAACTCCAGATGATAAACAGCCCAAGCACGACGAGCACGGCCGCCGCGGCCGCTGCCGACGATGCTGCATCGTGCCGCATTGTCAAGTTGAATCCAGCACGGCGCAACTTGAACGTAGCTGGCCAATCCATGCGGAATTATAACTTTCATTACATTTGGAATATAACACTTCAATGCATGTCAACATATATGCATATCGGTATAGTATAACTCTTGGAAGTGGGAATTCTAACAACGTACATTTGGTACCACAGAGGGCCGACAGTACGTGGACAACTGTACGTACTGCCCACTTGGCGTTGTCGTGCGTTCGATTATCCGTTTATAGAGGATGCCTCGCTTGACTTTTCAACAAAT